CTGGTTCTGCAGTAGCTTTTGTTGAAATAAAAGTTATCTTGTAACTCTTGCAGGTCTTTAGGTTCCATTAGTAATGTGTGAATGTGCCTTGGGGACAGTGAGGGGGGCTGCAGAAGAGCAGGAGGGAGGATAGCAAGAAAGTACGAAACTCCCCAGTGTTCTTGGACAGGGCTGAGAGCCGTGAAGGCAAGTGTACGTTGTGAAGACTAGCTCTTGGTGGGCATGATTTTTGGCTTGTTAGCTTGTTCTTACGTGGGTGGGAAGTCTCACCAGGGCTTTGGGTGGCCTTCGGATGTACTTCCTGGGAAAGGGATATCACTGCCTTTTCCAGACTCAGGTGTAAGTCCAGCATGATGTGGCTAACTGGAGTTTGATTCTGTTGCAGCATCCAACCTTGCCCAGATGTGAAATACGGCAAACGTATCCACGTGCTGCCAATTGATGACACAGTAGAAGGGATCACGGGGAACCTGTTTGAGGTCTATCTCAAGCCCTACTTCCTGGAAGCATACAGACCCATCAGGAAAGGTAATAAATAGTGCCTGACAACAGAAGTCCTCATGGCAGTGAGTGTGAGCTAGTCCTGAGCCTGAACAGAGAGAATTTCTAGAAACTGGCACAGATTTCTGTGAAGCATTATACCAACATCTGTAGAGAGAAGTTTTACTGGTGGTGATTTATATTTTTCCTTATCTTCAGAAGAAGGAGTGATTGCTTCTGCTGGCTGTCAGGGCACCTTGATAGTTCTCCTTCATTTTTTAGCTGTATAAGGTGGGAGAGCATCAGAAAAGACTAAGGTGGAACTTGAGAGAAAGTCTCATTAAACTAGGTTGCTGCCATTTGAAGGACTTGGAAAGTTACCTGCATATAATCAGTTGCTTTGGTGTATGTTATTCTTACCCAGTTTCATCAGAGATTATCTTTCATTAACGTAGTAATCAAAACAAATTTTTATGTGCACTGCAGGAACTTCATCCTCCTCTGCAGTACCTAGAAGTATTGATTGGGCAGGGCCCATCACCACGTGGCTTTTGCTGAACATGTATCCCAGTGCTTGCCAGTCCCACCACCCTTTGCTCTCTGTCTAGCCATGAACAGTCCATTGCGTCATTTGATTTTCCAGAGGCTAGTGCATGACAGGGAATGTGTTACAGCCACTTAATGACATGCTCTTTAGCCCAAGTGTATGAGTTTGTTTTGGAAGTGAGTCCCATTGTCTTACTCAATTCCTTCCAGGATGCCATGTTGCTGTAAGACTTACTTTTCAAGGCACAGGGAGTGGAAGCTTCCGCCATTCCCAGCACATGATCCTTCCCTTGGTGGATTTGGCGGAGTGGGATAGAGCCAGTCTGCCTCTTTGTATTACAGCCATCATCCTTGAAAGAGGAGAAACTTCAACCACTTGACCTGCTGTCGTGGTTTAACCCCAGCCAGCAGCCAAGAACCACACAGCTGCTCACA